CTTAGATTTACATTCCTGACTTCCCTCTTATAATACTATCTGTCTGGCTGTGCCTGACCCAGAACAAGCATACAGCAAGTACTTGTACATCTCCATACCTATTGCAGGTCAGTGACTCAGAAACACATTAAAGCCAAAAGATTAGCATGACAGTCATGCAACCATCATTTTTACAAGCTGTCAGCAACAGCAGCTCAGGTAGGCTTTTAAATAATTACTCTGACCCGGTGTATGATGGGGTAGGCAACCTTGGCACTCCAGCTGTGCTAAAACCACAAATCCCATCATGCTTCTGGAGGGACATTTTCGTAAGTCAGATTCGAAACTGAAACATAATTGGTTGTTTTGAGTGACACAAAGGTATTTTCTTGCCCCTCTGGAGTTCATAAATCTGTCTCTTTAGGAGACAGGGAGGAGGAGGACCACTATTAAAACAAATATTTTATTTTGGTCACTTTATGAGGATGATACTTATCACATTCAGTATATTAATTATTTCTTATTTCAAATGTCTTTTTATTTGTATCCACATTTGAATGCAGACCAAGCTGTCCAGCAAAAGTGACAGCTACAGGGGTTGAGGCAAACCATACAAAATTACATATCCATCTAAAACTACTACAACAATTTTATCGAAGAGTGAACAGTGTTGTCACCCTGTTACAGGAAGTGGGGAAAAACAGATCTACTATCAGGATCAACAGATAATGTGTATTAGATCGTAAGCTCTCACGGACAGGGCCCTCCTTATACCATCTTGTCTTGAATTATATTGTAAGTGTAATGTCTTCCTTATATTGTAAAGCACTGAGCAAACTGTTGGCGCTTTATAAATCCTGTATAATAATAATAATGTGTAGCAGGGAGAACTCTCAAACACAAAAACTGTTGTGGTCAGGGTTTTGTCAGACTGCATTATAAAGCTATTTTTTATTCTGTACATAGTGCCGGTGAGAGAGAGAGAGAGAGAGAGAGAGAGAGAGAGAGAGAGAAGGAGAGGGAAGAATAAAGGAAAGGGAAATAAAAGGAAGGGAAGTACAAAAAAGAATAGGAAAGGCTTGGGCAAAGGAAAGGGAAAGAAAAAGGCAAAGGGAAAAGGAAAAAAGGAAGGAGAGGGAAAGAAAAGGAAAGAAAGGGAAGGGAAAGGAAAGAGAAGGAAGGGAGAAGGAGAGGGAAAGGAAAGGGAAATAAAGATGAAAGAAATAAGGATGTGGAGGGAGAGCTTAATGTATGAGAGAAGGAAAGTGTGTAACTCATAGCAGCCAATCAAAAGTATTTTTAGGCTGAAATGTTCTTAAACTGAAAAATGAAAATCGAATGACAGAATGAATCGCTGACCAATAACTAGCATGCAGACCATATATAAGTGTGAATCCAGCACACAGATATGAATCAATGGCTTCTGTCATAGTAGGCTGTGATGTTAGTCGCAGCTTCCTCTCCTGTCACCAGGTATTGTCCCAATCATACTTTCTTCTCCTACAACAAAGCGTTCACCCTGAACTCCTTCTCTGACTGTACTGCGAGCCATCAGACACAATGAAAGTAACACATCCCAGATGTGAGGGCTAGATTACAACGAGTACAGCCACACATCGACAGCTAAAATATGCAAAAGGAGAAAAAAACCTTTCATTTTTACTCATATTTTCCACTGTTGAAATGGAGAAGATTTTTTTCTCTGTTAGATGATTAAGAATAGTCAGCAGAATGAATTCACCTCAAAGAAGACACCGGATGCTTTGTAGAAATGTTTTTATTGTAAAAGACAGATGCAAGTCAGTTATCAGAGGGCAAACGGTGCTACCCTGGGGTTCCCATGACAACCCTTGGCTATAGGATATGCTGAGACTTATGGTTCCTCTGTAGCTGGCTCTAGTGCACTTTTTTTTATACCACATTAATACTAAACTTCTGGATATGATTACGTTTGTAAGAAGAATGTATTGTGAATGTGGAAGATCACATTAAATATTGTGTAATACTGGCTGCTTGCTGGGAAGAAAATATATCTCAGGAAAAGACATACTAGATAGTTACTGGTATACTTTAAATAATATAACACACGTTTTTGCAACACCTATATATATATACTGTATAAATCAGTATCCTTCAATGCAGCATTTTATCCTGATGAGAGGTTGGCTGCTGTTATTGATCAGGTCAGCTCAGTTATTCCCCTAGGGCCAGAATAGATAGCTCTGTCTGATCTTTATAGTTATCTTATCGTGTGTTTATGCTGTAACTGCTCCAGAGTGTTCTCATTTACTGCGCGGTGACTTTAGATAAGTACAAAGACACTGAAAGGACATTATAGCCATTCACTTCAACACTATTGCTATTATATGGGCACACTGGTCAGGGATTTAGGAGTAATTGCCAGGGATGGTCTGAGTATTTTCCATTTTCCTGTAATGTATGTTATCCTAGTGATGCTGTGCCATGCTATAACTGTATTCTTTAATGTAGACATTGTAATAATATAAAGTATACAATGTAATAGAGAGTTATGGGGCAGAAAGGAGAGAGAAGAAAGGGATAGAGAGAAAGAGAAGACAGAGAGGAGAGAGAAGAAGAGTGAAAGAGAAGAAAGAGATTAGAAAGAGGAGAGAGAGGAGGAGAGCGGAGAGATTATTTTTAGTGCCACATATAAATAAAGCCCTGTCTGCAAAGACATATTATACCGATATACAGTACATATACACAAATATATCGGGAGTTAGGAGTGGAGTTCGGTTGGCCTTTGCTAGTCATAGAAAATAAAACATTTTCAGCGATTCACTTATTTTTTGTAAAAAAAAATTGCGTGTTCTAAAAATTGGATGACCAGGGTTATGCGACCCTCTTGATATGTTTATATGTTTGTTTTGTCTGCCCCAATATAAGTTGGGTGCTTATTATATGTTTATACATTTAGTAAGAGCAAGATAGAGACACATACATGTATTTTATATAGTTGTATATGTATACATAGAATGTAAAATTTGCTGTTAAAGGAGCGTGATTTATATCTATGTCAAGATTTGAAACAACCTTTTTCTTGTTGAATGATCTATCCCTCATAGAAAGTCAGATGATACATTAACAGAGCAATGGGAGCTATTTACACCTGGTAACATTTGAAATCATAATGAAGAACACTGTACTGTGGAGTCCCCTGATCCTACACCGCCAAGTAAAATGTTTGTACCAGTTGTGTGACTTGGAATAATCCTGCCATGGCTCGGGGATGATGGATCACTGATCAGTCAGCTTTTATTAATATACATGAACTCTATGTACTTTATATGGGCCGAATATGCAATGAATGGCGGCTGAATTATATGGGACATCTAGTCTGTTATAATATAAAGAAGTTTGAAATACTCATAACTGATAGTTTATTAGAATTACTACTCTAGTACTATTAAAACTAGATAATACTAATAATATATTTATACCTTTTTTTATTTTGCTTCTACTTATGC